TTCTCAGTGTCAACTTGCATAGTTTCAAATGCTCATGACATGTGATCTTGTCTGAATTATGTATTTTTCTATGCCTCCGTTTTATTATCTGTAAAATGTGGTTAATAGACATGGCTATAAAACTGTTGTAAGGATTAAATAAGATAATGTGTGGAAAACACTTATCGAATACACTGCAAGTGCAATTCTTATAACACATCGCAAATGTCTGTATAAAGAGTAGATTCTATCGTTATTAAAAAATGACCTAACAGGTTCTTCATGATGATTTTGAGTTTATGTATTTTCCTGAATCTGTATGCATAAGTATGATTTAGCTTGGAGGAAAACCCTAGATAATTTTTATCATTACTTCCATATAATTTGTTGATAAATTACAAATAACTGTCAAAATCTGCAAATTGCAATGATAAGATTTTTACAGAAAATGAATAAGGCTGCTACTTCCTCACTCTCTGGTATGATCAGCACTTATCTCCCTGGCTTCTGGGAACATTGATGACAGGATCTTGGGATATCCTTTCTTCCTTTTGAGACTGATGAGTATAAATTCGTAAAAATTTAATTTAAATATCATCCCTTGGAGGAAAGCTGATTTTGGTCAACTCTTCCCAACAGGAATGTTTGCTTTTCCTCTTCAGATTCTGATAATATTTTGTATAATTCTCTCTCTCTTTTTCTTTTTAAAATTTTCCATAGGGTTTATGCACTTACTGTAGAGAGACAGAGACAGATAGGGAAAGTGAAAGAGCACCTCCCCTGGGAATGATCATGCTGCAAACCCTTCCCCTCTGTTTCTCTCTCCTTTGGGGATTTTGACATGCACACACATGTACCTGGCATGTTTTTCAAACCACTGGGTCTGGGACTTCAACTACACAGATAGACATGTGGGCTCCAGCTGCCTGAAATACCATGCCATTGTTTTACTCTTCAATATTATTTTGACTCTGGGTATTGTTCTTTGCACATTCATTTCATCCATAGTCAACAGTTAATGTGATCATACAATCTAGTTTCTCTCCCTTCCCCATTCTGATAACTTAATTTTGACTTTTAGACCCCTGCCTTGTATCTGACATCCCAGGGTCTCCTTGTTCCTAGAAGTTTCTAAAATAATAGAGGTAGAATTAGAAGCTAAAAGACCATTAAAAAAAAAAAAAGGAATCCCTACATAAGGGAGTGGAAAGGGTGGGGAAGAAAGGGAGGCTGAAATCTGTGCCTTGAAGACAAAATTGTCTTCCAGGTGGGAGTTTACTGATGGCAGAAAGAACAGCACTTTCATTGCACAGTGACATGGAAAAGTTTGCTGTGCCTCATACCAAAGACAAATGACATGTGGAAATGTAGAATGGTAGGGCCGGCAAGAACAATAAAATGTCACACCAAGAAAAGGGAATGAAGATCAATAAATGCTTTTGAGGAGTTTGAGCTTTGTTGCTTATGGATTATGGAGACATTCAAGGTTACTAAATCGGGAGGGAAGGATAATGAGGTGAGAGTTGCCATAAGGTTGATTTGAGGGAACTCTCAATAGCATTGGCCTGGAAGGATCAATTCTTCCTTCTTTTATAGGACAATGGATGTCTGCTGTCACATTATTATCTATCCATCATGCTATGGCTGAGAGATAACAAGAATTCTCCTCATGGTCTGTGTATATTGATGTGGGGTGGGTGAAGCAGTCGGAGTGTAGAGAAGAACACACAAGATGTTTGATCCTGGTGAATATCGAATAGTGAATCTAGATAGGTTTGTGGGCTTTACTCAGGAAGAATACAAGAGGTTTAGGAGACTTCACTGAGGCAAAAGACATACTGGGCCCAGGAGGAGCAGATGAGCAGGAGATAAAGGAAGCCAAGGCAATGGAGAAGAAGTTATCCTGGACATTTGTGCATGAGGTGGACCTATGCATAGTTATCCGCTTATTTGTTCTGATCTTGGCATTTCCCTGGGTTCTGCTCCTGCTCTTTTGCAGAGAGGATGGTAGCCATTGGGCAATATGCCCCTCATTCAGGCAAGAATCCTCTTCTTGGTTGAAGGCCAAAGTTCAAGTCTATCCTTTTCTGCCCCTTTCTGGAGGAAATGGCAAGTGTTAAAGAGTTTGCTTAGCAGCCTGAGTGGAGAACTGAATCCTGGCTTCCTAATATTTTCTAGAGAAGTGGATCCTGGGTATGGAGGTCAACAATTGCTGGAATTTTTGGCTGATACTGTGTTTCACTTCTAAATTTAGAAATACATTCAACTAAGACCTGATGTTGAGAATTGTAAATTTATTCTTTGGTCTCCACAGCAAAGGAATTACCAGTAAGCGTTTCATCAGTGTATAATCTAAATGTGCCCTCAGGTCATTAGATCTAATAAATCAGAATGGCTAAATAGTGGCTTAAGAAATTTTATTTCCAGGACAACTGATGGGATTATGAGACAATCTCCTAATGACAAATATCTCATGGTGGAATCTTAACTACCACTGAATTTGTAGGAAGCACCTGATAACGCCAAAGATGATTTGATTAGAAACCACATTTTAAAATCTCTCCTTGATGATTTAGTGATAGCATCCTTTGGGAGGCAAGCCTTTGTGTAAGGCCTCATGCACGCAATAAATCTCAAAAACAAAATTTTCTTAAAATATTCATTTTTAGTTTTCATCCTTAAAAATGTATTGCCACATTTTTTCTTAACTAAAACTTTCTAGACTATGGAAAAGTTGGAGTGAAATATCATTTTAGTCTATATTTCTTGTCATTCATCATCACTATATCTCAAGGACATATAAATCAGATGGCACAATCTACTGATCCATGTATCTATTTAGCAACAAATAGCCACTGAACTCATTAACCAGCTACATGTCAGATGCTTTACTGGTTGCTAAAGCAGTAACAATGGTAAGCAAAAAAAAAAAAAGTAGCCTCTTGCCTTTTGTGCTTATAACACATTGATATATATACATATGTATATATATATATCATTTTAATATTACTATATTAAAAATAATATATAATAGTTTATATATGCATATTAAATTTCTTTTTAAAATTTTTAATTTAATTTTCTTTTATACATTCATTGATGTCATTTAGCTTACAAAGTGAATATTTCAACATGTGAACATTTCTCCTTAGTCCAGTTGATAAAACTATAAAATTATAAAATTATCTTCAACCACATTTCTGTCCCATTAAAGCTTTGCTTCTCTATTTTTCTTCTAAATGCCCTCCCTCACACTCTACTCTTTCAAACACACTTTATCTGATATTCCCATCCATTTACTGTGTTTCTACTTATTCAGCCATAAAAAACAACAAAACCCTGGCTTTTGACAGAAAATGGAAGAATATGGAAGATTTACTGCTGAGTGAAGCAAGCCAAGCTATGAACAAGAGACACTGTATGTCCCCAGTTAATATATACCGAGTGTCCGCACTCTATGACTAAAACTTGTTTACTAAAGGATATAGAAACACATATTAAATTTTATCTAAAATATGTATTTGATATAAATTTTTATAGTGGAATGAAATGTATAAATATATAATTATTTACTTATGATGTAACTATCAGCATATATTATTAAAACTCAGTGAGACAACAGAATGAGAGGAAATATTTGCAAATCATATATCTGATGAGAAACCAATACTTAGAACATATAAAAAAATTCTATGACTCAACAACTACAAATAATCTGATTTAACAATAGGTAAAGGATTTGAATACACATTTCTCCAAAGAAGATATACAAATGACCAACCAATTAGTACTCAAAAAGATGCTTGACACCACTCATCATTAGGGAAATAGAAAACATTTTTAATTAATTGTACCAGCATCTGCTTCTTACATTTATTTAAATTTCTTATCAGAAAACTGCCCCTAAAAATGTAAAGGAGCAGATATTGGTACAATGAAATAGATAATATATAAAATTAACATAATGATCAGAGAAACTTGGCATTCTGATAAAATTGGGCTGAGATCTCAAAGAAAAACAGGAATGATTTAGTGAAGAGCAGTTAAGGGACGGGTTAAGTGGGAATTGCACTCTGAACACAGGAAAAGAAGGCACAAAGTCTAGGGGACGGGATGGAACTGGGAGACGGTCAACATGGTTGGATGGTCATGGGAGTATGTGTCAATATATTTTTTAAATGCATTATAACAATCAGGTACTATGTAGTCAGATGCATAATTCAGATCATACATGTTAAAGTAGAAAAAGAGCTGAACTATTTCAAAAAAGTATAAAGGGGTCAGTCAGTGGCACAGCAGTAATACAACACTCTGTGAGGCTGACCCATATAGGAAGGCTTTGGGTCATTCAGAGACCTCCGTGAACACACGTGCATCAGGCACACACATGCCTGTGATCCAGGGCTTGCTAAAGCTGGGGTTAATTATGGCTGTGAAAAACCTATTGAAAGTACCTGGGTGTGTGTGTGTGTGTGTGTGCATGCATGTGTGTGTGTGTGTGGGTGTCTCACTCATGGAAGAAACAATAAATAAAACTTCATAAATTAAGAGAAGAGTATCAAGATGTAGGCTTGGACTGAAAGAAATTGGATAGCTGGAAATTGGAATGGGGGAAGATTGGTGAGTGACATTAAAACAGGTTAGAGGTTCAGGGAAGGCGCATGAATTGAAAAGGGAAGGGCTGGGGACCAGTAGTTAGCATAATGGCTCTGTCGCTGGACTCTCATGTAGTCAACCACGGTTCGAGTGCTGGACCTGGTGGTTTAAACTCATGCCGGGCGCCGTGTTCATGTGTGCCCAAGATCCCAAGAGGAGAATGGAGGAGAAGGGATTGTGGTGTGGCCATCCCCCCTGGGGGGTGATTTCTTACTTTGTCTCCCTGTCTCTCTCTGTCTCTCTGTCAAGCGCATGCGCCCTATAACAAAAACCTCTCCAAAAAAAAAGTGAAGGGCTGGAAATTAGTCATGAAAACCAAGCAGAAGAGAGTGAAATAAAATGGTATAACTCAGGATCATTGGGCTGAAGCACATGGGTAGCTGCAGAAGGTGAGGCTGGGGAAGTAGGTGGAGGTTGGATACTAAGAGGTCTTGAACATGGAGCAAAAGAGTTTTGACCTGGAGAGAGGAAAAAGAAAAAAAGGCATTAGGAAGTCTTCAGGCCAATAATGATTACAAGTGAACTTAAAAAAAAAAAAAGAAAGAAAGAAAAAAGTGAACTAATCACAGTCAGTGCAATTTATACAAATCATGCAGTGGCTAAATAAAACCTAATTGCAGGACCAGCAGGTGATATAGTGGCTAAGGTGCCGAATCCCCACATGGCCCACTACAGTTCAAGGCCCAGACCTGGTGGCTTAAATATCAGGCCAGGGATGCATGCATGCATGTCCAAAATCTGAGAAGAGAAAAGAGAAGAAGGGAGTGGGAGTGTGATGTGACCATCCCCCTGGGAGGTGATTTCTTACTTTCCCACCCTCTGTTTTTCTCTGGCCAGTGCATATGCCCTATGGCAAAAACCTAAAACAAACAAATAAAACCTAAACGCATCTTGATCTTCTTCCCTTGAAGTAGAAATGGGATCTTACGAGAATAAATGGACAAAGGCTATTTTACCTAAACAAGAGGAAAGGAGAAATGTATGAATGTGTGTGCATGTGTGTGTGTGTGTGTCAGTGTGCAAATGTGTGTTTGTGTGTAGGACACAGGAGAAGGAGAGAAGATTGAGGAATGGTTTCAAGGAGGTGACAGCCTCTGGGTTAAATATGCCCTTAGAAATCCCTTCGATGGCTAGGAAAATGGAAACTAGACTCCCCAAGAGTGCAACACCTTATTTACATCTTTCCAGATGCCTTTCCCACACTCTCATGCTCTCACTTGTCACTTCAGACAAAGTGGGTCACCTGCCATCTCACATCTGTTTGTGGCTTTTTCCACGTGGGTGGTTTTCTCCTAGACATCAACCACCTCTAACTACTCAAATCCTCCCAAGTATTACCTAAAGTAATACTTGTAGAAAATTTCCAGATCTACTGGGAAGTATCCCTTTCCTTCTGAGCTCACATGCTATTTTCACCCCTTTCTGTCTTAAATGTAGCAGTCTGAATAAAAAGCCCCAGTAGAGAGATAACAGACACTCATACACATTTTCAAATGAATGAACATATGAACAAGTAAACAAAGATCATAACATCGTGTTCATCTTTTTCCCTGGAATAGGATCTCAGAACGTGTCTTATACTCCTCTGTAGACAGAACACATAAGACAATTAATTACAGGTATGCAATCAGACTTAGGTACTTTCTTCTTGTATGGTATATATGATGAATCAATAATGCCAACTCAACTGAAATCAAATTTGATGACATCATCCAGTGGTTTTTGGCTGGGGATGGAACTGTTCTACTAGTGGGTGCTTGGAAATGTGTGGGGCATTTCTGGTTGCCTCAATGGTGGTAGGGGCTCTATTTGCATTTAATGGCAGGGATCAAAAATAAAAAATATCATACAAATCCAGGGAGACTTCAGCACAGCAACGAACAAATCTTTTCATCCTAAACACCGCTTGAACCATTTAGGAAGAACTGCCTACTTTAAAAGCTGTTTAGACACAAGAAAATGTTTGGAAGAAAATTACATGTCCTTCTCTGGGGAAATTAAAACAAAAAACAAGGGAATGTTGTCCTGATGGCCTTTCTCAACCATGCCCAGCCCAGAGATACTAAAATCCTGGGGAATGTTAGATCCAGGCCAAATAGTCCAGACACAACAGACCCACCCCTTTGGATCGTGCAGAGGCAACATCAGAGATCCTGCTCCCATCAAAAAGGGCTGAAAGCTGGACTGCCCTCCCTGTACACCCTCTGGCCCAAAGAGAGGCTGTTCTTCTGCATGCATTTTACTCCTGGAGAAGTAGCTCAGTTTCAGGAAACACACACACTTACATTTGGCATCCAGATGCTATCACAAACCATGCTGGCAGCCAACCCGGAGATTTCTATTTTTCTCTTATCTTAATTAAGCAAACAGCAGTAGTTACCTCTGGGGAGAAAGGCACACAGGTAGGTGGGAAATCTGAGGTGGTGGCAGGGATGAGAGTGATAGAATGTCTGAAATGAGAAATGACAGACCTGGCAGGACTTGGTGAAGCTCCCTCCCACTTCACCAGCATGGGATTGACCACTTCCTCCCTTATGATATACATAAGGTTTCATATAAATGTAAATAATATATGTATATAATAAGTATATTAAGATAAATAATATATAATATAGTTACAGCTAATATTACCAATAATGTATTATGATTATCTTGTTAAAAATAATGTATTATTTTATGCAATGTTAATATATTACAATTAAAATATTATTAATATTATTTGCTATTACTTTCTAATTATTTAATCAACATATTCTTAATATTATTTGCTATTACTTTCTAATTATTTTAAGACATATATTATGATGAATAATAACTTTATTCTTCTAACTAGTTCTGGACCTACCTGAGAATAATGACAATATTTTATTTCTTTCTTTGTTCTCAGTACTTAGGAGAACATCTGCCCAGTTCCAACCTTACATTTCATATTCATTTGTTACATTCCAAAGCACATATGATTTTTAAAAATTATGCCCTTGCCACCATCTATAGCACAAAATCTTGACAGCAGTGACTATATAGTACGCACTCTTATGTCTCTGGACTCTAACAAGAGTTCCAAATACCCAGGAAGTGCTCAACTTTTGGTTAAATCAAATCAAACTGAAAAAGTGAGAATAAACTGAGCTTTGAAATATCCAGTTGACTAGATGCATAATAATATTATTGAAATAGGAAAAGGAACCAATTGTGTGGAAAGAATAAAGGGGCTCTAACATATTGTCAGGAAATTAACTAACCTTGGAGGAGAAAGAGTTTTTTGACAAAGAAGTACTCAGGCAGAGGGTAGAGATTTTGGCAGAAGAAATTTAGAGACTCAACTATTGATTCGTAAAAAGTGCACTAGTTGTCCAGAGACACTGATTGGAAATATCCCAGAAGTGGATGGAAACAAAATGTTTTGATCTGGTTACTCTTTAAATATAGATTCAATCACAGTCTCAGAAATGTTCTGTCCTACTAGGCCACTCCAGGTCAAGTGTCCACCTTAGAAAAGGCAAAGGACACAGAGGAAAAATATGCTTCCTACCTTCAAATCCTCTCTCCTTCCTCAAGATTATACCATTAGAGATATTCTTTTACTTACACTCTATCAAAATACATTTCTATAACTTAAAATCAAGACAATCTGGACTAATAAAAGCATTGCTTTCCTCAGCAAATCTTTAAAAATAGTATTTTATTTCTAGAATGAAATGTAACAAATATTCTTTGTTTTGAAGAAGAGAAGGGTCTATTAAAATGCTGCCATTTTCTTTCCCTTTAAACATGGACTTGTAGGGCTGGCCATTCTCAAGGGTATGGGAAAAGTTAAGAGTTTTCAGTCGATGTTTAAGGAATGTGGCTGTTTTCTATACAGACAATTTTACTTGTCTAGGATATTCAATGAGGAATGAGAAGAACAGCAGAGAAAAACCTGTGAGGCATCTTCCCTCACTCCCTCCACTCAAGATTCTATTATGCCTCTTTGAGACAGTCATCGAAACCTGACGTGGCCTATTCTTGGTTCTTATTCTGAGTTACAGGAGGAGTCTGAAAGCATACAAACCAGTCCTTTCTTCACTCCAAGTAGGAAGACAACAGGATTGCTCCACTAGTTAGTATCTCTGAGTTTCACTGTCTATCTCTCTTAGCATTTAAATTAGTTGTGGTGGCATCATCTCTTTCCTGTTTTGGAAACATCATAACCATCTTCTGCTGTCATGATAACACTCACTCTCTATTGCCTTAAAGATGACAATGGTAATAATAATCATGATTTGGGTCTATATGTGCTTTCTATGGAAAGTAACAAAACACTATTTTCAACAGATTTCTCTTATTCTTTTTTTTTTTTAGAGGTTTTTTGTTATAGGGCACGTGCACTCGCCAGAAAGACAGAGAGAGACAGAGAGACAGAAAGCGAGAAATCAGCCTCCGGGGGGGGGGATGGCCATGCTGCAATCCCTTCTCCTCCATTCTCCTCTTGGGATCTTGGGCATGCACACACATGGGCCTGGCTTGAGTTTAAACCACCAGGTCCGGGACTCAAACCACGGTCGACTACATGGGAGTCCAGTGATACAGCCATTACACCAACCCCTGGTCCCTATTTTCAATAGATTTCTATGGCCCTTTTACAATTTTGTGTCTCAATGAATGTGTCTACAATGAAAGCTTTCAAAAGAAACTCACCAATCCCACCTCCAAATAGTTAACATTTCTCTGTCTAATTACTCACATTTTTCTGTCTCATAGGAAAGTGGAAATCAGTTAGATTCATCTTGTTTGATCTTCTGGAAGTCAAACCTAAGCAACTATATTAGAGAGGCACCTGGTCAAAGGCTGAATCATCTAAGATATGCTATCAGAGACATCTGAGCACTCTGCTATGGCTGCACGTTATTTAATATATTTGGTCTATATCTCCAGGCAAAGAAAAGTTGGAAATGGTTCTGATATTTAAGTCTACAAATAGGATGGCCTGAAAAATAACATCAGGGGCTAAATGGTAGTGCAGCTATAACATAGCACTGTCTATGAGGCTAGACCCACATGAGAAGGTTCCCAGTTCACCTCCCAGAGGCTCCCGGTTCATGCCTGACACATGCACATATGTCAGTGATTCAGACTGGCTGAGGCTGGGGGTGGATTGTGGCAATGATGACCCTGTTGGGAATGCTTCTCTCTGTCTGTCTGTCTCTCTCTCTCTCTGAAGAAATAAATAAACTTTTAATATAAAAATAATAATAAATACCACCAACTGAGCACTGGAACTCTATTATAAATACTGTACCACAATTTTAGTAAATGTTACTACATTTTTACCCACAATAGCTATGCTAATTTTATAGATGAGGACTTTGAGGCACATAGTCCCAATGCACCCAGTGCTGATTCTGGAGCCTGGATTTGTAGTCTAGCGTCTGTGCACTTCATTTAATAGAGTGACTATTCTCCCTAGGTCCCTGCATCAGTACTCGGTACATCCCTCCAGCAGAGCCATTACCACAAAAGACTGCCATTGTTTACTTAAAGCTTTGGTTCCCCTACTAGTTTCTGAAATGTTTGTTAAACTCTCTATGTACTGAACCCTTTTTGACTGTAGTAGAAACTTAATAAATGTTTGTATAATAATAGAATGAGTAAATGAATGAATGAACAAATGGATGAATGAATACATAATTGATTCAAAAAATAAATCAATACTTTTCCCTAGATTCTCTCTCTTTTTATTAATTGCCAGAGGATATATGCACTTACAAGAGAGAAAGAGAGAGAGAGACGGACAGAGAAAGCACCCTCCAATGGGGCATGGTTATAATGCTTTTTTCTCCATTTCTTTACCCCATAAGTATTTGAGGAATGCACACACACATATCCAGCATGTCATTCAAGTGACCAGAGCCAGGATTTGAACTGCTGTTGGCCATGTGAGAGATCTGGCTCCCTATACACTGTGTTTTTTAATTAATTTATTTTTATTATCATCATAATCTTTATATTACATTGGATTACATATAACTTTACAGTGTATTACATTGCTTTTTCAAAAGGGCTTATACACTGTTTAACTGCTGCACTAAGATCAGCCCTCTGGATACTTTTTTTTTTTTTCCTTTGGAGAGGTTTTTGCTATAGGGTGCGTGCGCTCTCCAGACAGACAGAGAGAGACATAGAGACAGAAAGCGAGAAATCACCCCCCGGGGGGATGGTCACACCGCAATCCCTTCTCCTCCCTTCTCCTCTCGGGATCTTGGGCATGCACGCACATGCGCCTGGCGTGAGTTTTAAGCCACCGGGTCCAAGATGCGAACCGCGGTCGACTACGTGGGAGTCCAGCAACATAGCCATTACGCTAACTGCTGGTTCCCAAGCCGTCTGGATTCTTATATGACTGTTTCCTAGACGTTTTCTGATTTGCCTTTCCTTAGATATAATGAAGATTATGACTGATAATTCATATAATCGAGTGAACCTTTACAGAATGGAATTCTGGACAGATCCTTCAGATGCAAACATGGCTTAGTCTAAGCCCTGCTCAGAAATGCTTGTCATGTGGAGAGGCAGGCAAGAACATAATCAATTATCTAACTGTGGTTGACATGTGCCAAACAGAGGTCTGAATGAAGAATTCATTGAGCGGGATTACGAATCCAAAGTTTTTGCTAAGCAGGTAGTGCTTGAGTTAGCACTGAACAAGAACAAGTAGGATTCAGACAATTTGTTTTTTGTGATTAGAAATATCTTGCTTTTTTTAGGAACTGTATTTCTATGAGCTCTTCAACATTTCTCATTGGAAGGACCAGCAGTTAGCGTAATGGCTATGTCGCTGGACTCTCATGTAGTCAACCACGGTTCATGTCCCAGACCTGGTGGCTTAAATTCATGCCGGGCGCATGTGCGTGCGTGCCCAAGATCCCAAGAGGAGAATGGAGGAGAAGGGATTGTGGCATGGCCATCCCCCCTGGGGGGTGATTTCTCGCTTTCTGTCTCTCTATCTCTCTCTCTCTGTCTGGTGAGCGCACGCGCCCTATAAAAAAAACCTCTCAAAAAAAAAAAAACATTTATCATTGGACAGAGAAGGAACTGAGAGATACCATTACAACAGTAATTGCTTCTGATGTAAGAAATTGTGCCAGGGTGGCATGGCTCTGGGAAGTCCACATCAAGGCTCCATATTTTTTGGTGTAAGTAAACTGCCCACAGCACCATCTCTGACTCTGAGAGCATCTTTGCATTCCTAGGAGAAATGGTCTAGATTTTTTATCAGTGTCCTCAGCAACACCGACTGCAGAATACAACTCTTTTCTCCTGTCAACTGCGAATGGAAGTAATTTATGTTTAGTACAGATCCTATCAGGATCAATCTGCCACTGCCTTTCAGAGGTATCCATTACCATGCTATAACCATGAAATCCAGATGCTTGAGCAAAACAGACATGTGGGCCAACCACATAATCCTATTCCAAACTCCAGTTGTCATGGATGGAGAACAGTCCAAAGGAGATACTCCTCACCTGGGTAATACCCAACGGCATGAACAAATCAGAGGCAAGCAGGGACAGGGAGACTGCAGAGAGTTCACAGGCACTTGGGAGTTTGCCTACAGGACTGGAGCCAGGGCAGAAACTTGGAGACTGAAGTTTCAAGCCAAAAGGTGCTTGTGACAAGAGGAGAAGTGGATGTTTTCCTGAACTCGCATCAGATCCCAACTTGCAAACGGTATTGATGGCCATGATCTTTGGTCTCTTGGTACTTCATGAGCAGCAAGTTAGTCTTATTCCCTCCTGCATAGCGACAGTCCATGTTGCAATTCTGGACCTCATCATCTCTTGTCTAGACAGTGACAATAACCTCCTCACTGTTTTCCTTGCCTCTGCTATTACTCACCTCAAATTCATTTTACATGCTATGAACAAATCTGACTATCCCCTCAAAATCTGTCACTCATTCTATATTACGTATGGGGGGCAATGTCTGTATTGCTTTCTGTGAAGATGGAAATACTCACTATCTGTACTGTCCAATATAGCAATGGGTATTGAAATATAGTTAATACAACTGAGAAACTGAATTTTAAATTTTACTTATATTTAATTAATTTATTCTTAATGAGCCACACATGTCTACCAACTACCCTATCAAACACTATAAATCTGCAGAACAGTATCCCCCTTAACATGGTATTAAAGGCCTTTTATGATCTAGACCCTATTTGTATTACTTGATTTGCCCACAAATAAGCTAAACAATTTTTTTCTTTTTTGGAAACTCTATGCCGTTAACATGGCATTAAAGGCCTTTTATGATCTATTTGTATTACTTGATTTGCCCACAAATAAGCTAAACAATTTTTTTCTTTTTTGGAAACTCTATGCCGTTTCTCTACCCATTTCCTTTACTTAAGCATCCTTTCCCTCATCATCTACTTAACACATTTCTATTTATATTTCAAGATCTAGATTCCATCTCACATCCTTTGGATAGCCTATTTCAACTTCTTTTCCCCTCACATAATGAATCACTCACTCCCATATGGTCCCAAAGTTCGATGCGTTTGCTTCTATTAGTGCACTTATCACATTGTTTTGAAATAATTTGTTTACCTGGGCCTCTCGCTCACTGGCCTAGAAACTCTGAAGGGAAAGGATTAAACTGTATTTGTCCCTGTTTGTAACCCTACGACCCAAGGAAGTGCACACATCGATAAATGTGTGGTGAGCAGGTGCAAACCTGCAGAGTGAATTCATCGTATAATCAATCAGTGTTTATTCCAAGAGTTTCCTGAACTGACAGGGCCATTAGTGAACTTCTGTGATATTGAAGTCTGTGAGACAACCTATAATATCAGGCATGGATTGGAACTATTATAACAGTGCCCGTGTCCACATGGAAGGTCAATGTAGAACTTTTGGATTCACTCTAAATTTGAAAATATGTAAACTTGAGTGGATGGTGCTCAGGGCTGGGAGGTTAAGCTACAAGGTGCTGAAAACTGAAGATGCCTAGGATAAAAGAAACAGAATCTAGGAGCTCAGAATCTTGGAATAATTGTTTATAAATGACTTTAGGACCCTACTACTCTTTACTCAAGAGTGGAAGGAAAGAAAGTCTTACATATTCTTTTATGAAAAGTAGTACTATTTATTGCACCCCTATTGTATGCCATATTTTATTTATTTTTAAGTTTCTTTTTAACTACTTCTTCCATGAGGGAGCAAGAGAGAGTCACAGAGGCAGAGAGACAGCATCTCCAACAGGGTCCTGACACGACAATCCTCCCCCAATTTCAGCCAGCCCAGATTTAGGGCATGTGCATGCCTGGTGCACTCAGGGAGGTCTCTGGATAGGTACCTGAAACCTTTCCATGTGAGTCAGCCTCTCAAAGCACTGCATTTGCTACTGTGCCACCTTTTGACCCACGGCATGCCATGTTTTATATATCATCTCACTTAATCTTCCTAAAAACCCCATGACATTGCTATCTACAGTCCACAGATGAGAAAACCAGAGCTTAGAAAGGAGAAATGATTTTACAATTTCTCCCATGCAGTAAATAGTGAAGAGATGATTAAACACCAGGCCTACCTCTAAAGCACAATTTCCTAGTGGCTTTTCACATACAACTGGAGATATCACATGAAAACATTTATATTCTAAGACACCTGTTACTGCACTATGCGATACTATATTGTTATTATATTGATATACTTCCCTCAAAATGTCAAGGAAAATGAAGAGTTGGAAATACCAACCAGATCCTTTGTTCTGTCCCCTATATTTCATATTGGGGTAGTAGAAGTCTGGAGAGAAG